CATAAGTTGACATCAGTACAAGAAATGCAATTTCATTAAACATCACGGTATAATAAATATGCAAAACAACAATACACGTAAACTCTATGGGGTAATAACACTGTTCCCTATGAGCCAGGTGCCAACGCATCTTGAGCCCGGATCCCTAATGACGAAGTTGGAAGACCTATCATTGGAGCCTAGAGCCAAATTAGTAAAGCCCGGTGCCTTGTCAGTGGAGCACAGGGCCACAAAAAATTGCTTAAAGGAGCCCGGTACCCATAATGTGGAACCTGGATCCCAGAGATAAAATAAAGATGGAACCCAGAGCTTGGAGCCTTTGGTATCCCCCAACTTTATGATCACATTTGAATTAACTTACTGCAAACTGAAAAGAAATCACTTGTAAAGCTTTTGTTATTTTTTTTTTTTACTAATGACATAATAGACGGATAGATTGAAAACCTTCTCTTTGATATTTACGTCAAAAGAGAATAAGACAGCGTTGTACTTTTCTGATATTTTTCTTCTTTTTGTGGGGTAAAGAATGTAGGTGTGATGGTTAGATTACACAAGTTATTGTTGATTCAAGTTTTTCATGAAAATGTTTAAATAAAGATATTATATTATATATACCTTTTAAACTTGAAAATACATATCTATCATGCAAGATCGAGTTTTAATTATTTATACAACGAATTTTCCATTTTATTGATGTTTGAGTGATTGATCAACAGTCTTCATTCATTCACTCATAGCATGTGGTTCCAATTACTAACAATCGTCGCAATTCATCTGCCAAATTTGTAAAGATGTCGCGGCTTTCCACGTCTAGGCTCAGTTGATCATACCCACCAAGCCATGCATTGATTGAATACACCCACTTCCGTGAAGTTTTATGTTCAACTTTGACACATACAAGCTATAACAAATACAACGATACACAAGATACAGGAAAGAGGCAAAATATGAAAGAAATAAAAGTATGCAAAATAAAATTCACAATCTAAATCTGCAACGTGCGAAAGATCTTTATAAACGTGCAGATGAGCTTGCAAGAAATGTATTAAAGTACTCGTATAGCATGTTTGTAATACAAGTTACTTTTAGTACGATATAAACTGCTATTTCAGGGCCTTTAATTATTCGTTAGAAATTTACGTTCACGATATGTATTAATATTTATTATTACTTATTTCGCTACTTCATTAAAAAATCGTTTGAGTTATAATAATGTAGGAAGAAAGTCAGTGATAACTTGTCATCTTGATTTATTATGTGTAGATGCTTCCTTTTAGATAAGATTCCTTGTTTATAGAAGATGATGAATGGTATCATTTATACATACATGTCTTTAATTATGACACGGATTTTCCGTCGTTTCTTTAACTTTATCATCTGCTTGAATCTTATTTTTGGTCACTTTGAGCATTAACAAAATGTTGATTTATAACACAAGTCTGTCAGATGTCATTTTATCCGGTAAATTCGTTTTAGGAATACCGTACGGTTAAGTGGCATTAAGCATTTGTCGGATAAAAGAAATTGTTTCGCGTAAAAAAGAATATTTTTCATATTATTAAATACAACAAGGATATTTCATGATAGATAGATTAATTCAGTTACATATGTACAATAAGGAAAACATTTATAAGAACTTTCAATGTAATGTCAATATGTTTTTAATTCAATAATGACTAATGCGACAGTCTGGTGGATAGTTGTCTCATTGGCAATCAAACCACATCTCCTTATTTTTATTTTGACCACCTGGAAAACAATTATATCGTCTTTGCGGCTAGTTACAGGTATGTTCTACAGAAAATACTGGACTTCACCAGTTTTACGGTAACAAAACTCACCTTAAAATTCCCCAGTTTTTGACAGTCGGCTGAATTTTCGAAGCCTTTATAAAAAGATAAAAATGTACTTTTTATTGTCATTAACATCAAGTTTCAAAATGGTGAACTGTAAGTAAAGTATTATCCCTTGAAATCTCATTTCATACCGTTATTACATTTTACTTTATTTTTAGTGCTTTTTTGCTTTATTTTTATTTTTTATGAATAACAACAGAGATGTGAGGTATACATCAATGATATAGCAACACAACGATAGAAATAAGCAAACGAAATCTAGAGGGAATACATGTAGTCTTTGACATTATACATAATAAATCCATTCAGCACGTCAAGCTCCTGATCTTCCTTGGTCTACGAAAGTAAAGAGAACAACTGACCAGGTTCCTGACTTGGGGCAGGTACATGAAAAGGTGGCGAGGTTAAACTATATTTTTTTCTCAAATCACTCCCTTTTTTAAATCTCAAACATCCCCTTTTTAATCTCAAACCTCTTTTCATTCCCCCCTCTACCATTCCTTTTCTAATCTTAATCAAAGGACAATCAAAATGTACCGGTCATTGGTTTTTTTTCGATTGGATTGTTTTCATTTGTTATTTTTTGAGTCTTTTATTACTTGTTATATGGTATGGCTTTGCTCATTGTTAAACGCCGGGTGTTGACCATTAGTGCCTTATTTCTACGATTATATGGTATGGCTTTGGTCATTGTTAAACGCCGGGTGTTGACCATTAGTGCCTTATTTCTACGTAATTTGGTCTGTGGTGGATAGTTGTCATAATGGGTACCATACCACTTCTAATTTGTATATAAATTTTCAGTACAGGACGAGCATTTTAAAAAACAGTATAATAGATAGCAAAAACACGAACTCATCAACAAATTTAACCGTAATAAGGAATGCTCGGAGTTACCGAAAGCAAGCTTAAAGTACTTGCAATGCTCCGTGTTGAAGGCCGTACCTTGACCTATAATGGTTTACTTTTATAAATTGTAACTTGGATGGAGAGTTGTCTCATTGGCACTCATACCACATCTTTCTATATCTATTAACCTGCTGATGCAAATTACTGTTATATAATCCTGGTATCTTTGATGAGTTTTTCCAACCACAGGGTTGATGCCGCAGTGGGTAGATGTTTTCGACCTTTATAGGGAATCACCAGCCCAGCGTCGATGCCACTGCTGGTAGAGGTTCCCCCACCCCCTCGAGGGTATCACCAACCCAGTAGTCAGCACTCCAGTGTTGGCATGTAAATCTATCATTGTTATGGTTATATTTATAAATTAACTGTTTACAAAACTTTGAATTCGTAATACTAAGGATTTTCTACCCCAGGAAAGATTTTCTAATCTCTATTTGAAAACATCTCGGAGTTTGGGGTCCTTAATGCTCTTCAACTTCGTACTTTATTTGGTCTTTTCAACTTTTTTGATTCGAGCGTCATTGATGAGTCAACAAATTAAACGATTGTCTAGCGTGCAAAATTATTATCCTGTTATCTTCGAAGAGCTTTTTATACTAAATATCTTCTGTCGTTATAATGAACAGTACAGGAAGACCTGATCTTGTTCAATGCTCAAAACAATTCTATAAACTTATATTTAATTTTTGTCACGATTTTACCGTAAAATATATGTTACTGGAATAGTTGATCACAAGTTCTCACGATACGAATCAACAAAGAAAAAGAATGGCGCAGCTACCGGTATCGTAATAACCATAAAATAACAAATCTTTCTACATAATGATGTTTATTATTTCACCAATTTCTTCCGGAAACTTCAAAGGTATATGTTATAAGCTATCTTATTCTCGTTTAGTAGCAATTAAGGTAAAAAAGAAATTTTCAAGGTCATTGAAAGGGAGATCACCTGATGCTTATTATTCCTTGCTTTAACAGATTGTATATAAGTGATCCCGGATTCTGTATACACAGGTAAAGTACTGATCATGTTTAGTTGGAAAACTCAATTCTTTAAAAACGTAAGTTTTTGGTAGACAAGTGCAAAATTTTAGTATTAATTTCTTAATTGTAAAAAAATGTATAACGACCTCAGAAGATATCTGGAATAGAAAATATGTGTAATACTAAGAAAACAACTTTATTATTATGATACTACAACGTATGATAAATATTTCTGACAAATAAATGTCAATTGTAAAATAAAACTATTCAGTTTGCAAAAAATATGTTTTTTTTTTTTTTCAGAGAGACAATTCGTATAGCTACATTTGCAAAGTCGTGTATATTACTGCTTTTGCTTTAAGACTTAACAACGATATCATGTTCCATATGAATAGTTGTCAACAATTTCCAAAAAGGATCTGTCTTATTTTAATCATGATGTTTGTGATATTTATCCAATACACTAGTACAGACAAAAACGATACAAGCATTGAAAATGAACCTCCAGGGCATGGGGAAAATAATGGAATTAACGAAACAGAGGTGATTTCTAAAACAATGGTACACAATGAGAGTTTGTTCTCTTTGCCTAGTTCTTGGCAAGATATTTGCTATGTAAATAAAAAAATAAATACAAATGATACATTGAGAAAGCATATGGAAATCATATGTAACGTTTCTGGAAGTAACAGTATAAACTTTCTAGACTTTCGTAATTTCACATCCAACATTCAGGAAAATGTATTATTTTCTGTTACTGTAAAATGTGGAAACGGCGGAAGTGTATTCTTCCCGTATCCTGGACGAGCACGTCTTCTCTATTCTTTACATATATCACACTGCATTTTGTCTGGGTTTCGATCTGAAATTAGAGATTTTTCAATAGACTCAATACCAGATGATTTAAAATACTTTAGATTAAAAGATTCGGTTGTCCTTACATCCATTGGTGATCTTAACGCCTCTGTTGATCCACAAGAAGTTACAAAAGCGTATGAATGCGGACCTTTGAACGCAACAGAAATAACGGAATCTAACCTCACGGATTATTTTATAGATTTGTCGTCAATACCATTCTCGCAGGATACTGTCATGGAAAAGAATGTTGATTATCACAGAGAAAATAGTGATACGTCTTTCAGATGTAAATATCCTTATCTTCGATATTTGGACAAAAGTTTTTCTCTTGGATTAGATCGCCAACAGTTGAATAAACAGTTTCAGAACTTTTTATACCCTGTTGTAGAGGTAATGAATTTTTCCCACTGTGGCATCAGTGAGATACCGGTACAGCTTTATGACTGGGGACTTTTCAGTAAAAAACTGAAAATTGTAGATCTTAGCCATAATAAAATATCAGATCTTGGTTCTTTTACGTGTCATAGTAATGCAGACGATACCTCAGACATTTTTGATTTGCAATTTAACAATATTACAACAGTGAAGTTACGTAGTCTGACTACAATATTTCGTGACATATGTAGTCAGTTAACAGTAAATATTCGGAATAATCCATTTGCCTGTGATTGTGAAATCAAAGACTTTTTAGGCTTTCTAGATAGAGACAATTATACCGATAACAACCGCTACAGATATTTATCGGATTTAACATGTTTAAATCCGCCGTCTCTTCGTGGACAAATTATTTCACAGCTTTCATTACCAGAAATCGGATGTGAAACAGTTTCTAAAACATATCTGAAAGGTCCTATAATCGGTCTGTGTTGCTTGGTTTTTGTCTTTAGCATTTGTATTATTATTGGTGTTAGATACAAAAAGGAAATAGTTATACTTGCATATACACGCTTACATATATTGTTGCCATGTCAACAATATGAAACAGACGACTACAAGAAATACGATGCATTTATTGCTTATAGCCAAGCAGACATACACTGGGTCATTCATACCCTTGCAAAACGCCTTGAAAACCCCGAATCAGGCCCAAATTTTTCTCTCTGTCTCCATCATCGTGATTTTATGGTAGGGGCTGCAATCTCTGATAACATTGTTCGAAGTGTGGAAAACAGTCGACACACTATTATAGTTGTATCAAAACAATTTCTGAAAAGTGAATGGTGTCTTCTTGAATTTAGAACAGCTTTGCATCAAAGTATTCTGGAAAAGAAGCGCCATTTGATTATCCTGTTACTAGAAGATATACCTACAAGTGATTTTGAACCGGAATTAAGAAGTTGTATGCAAACCTTAACTTACGTGAAAACAAACGACTGTTGGTTTTGGGATAAACTTATATATGCTTTATCTGATTGGTCAAGAAAAATGAAAAATGAAAAAGCCAATACCATTAAAAGAAAGATTATAAAAGGAAAGAATAATTTGTTTGAAGGCAAAATTAATGTGTAAACAGTACATAGTACACAATTTAGTTATCGAGTTTAATTATAAAGAATGTATGCATTGATATAGTAGAAGATGCAATTATTGAAAATACAATAACAATTGTTTTGTTATCTTCACTTTACATTGTATCTTTATACTAACAATTATAAGGTCATGATGAAAAATAGTAGAATATACCATCTTCAATACTATTGAATTGTGAATACACCAAGGTGAATTTTAAAAACCGTTATTTGAGATAAGAAAAGATAACAAAACTACAACAAATAGCATACACACACACTAAGGCACGTTCGATACAAAAAGTTTGGAAACCAAAAATATCAAACGTTTGAAAGGATTAGAATGAAAAGAGGCTTTAATAGTACAATAAAATAATCGACGGTCAACATTTCCTGAACAGGAGTTTTCAATTAAGTTGTTAGAACAATTACGTCATAGAAGGATGCTCCCCAGTTTAAAAAAAGTCCTCTATGCTGTCTATTATTCAGGTTGCAATAAAATATTTGCTGAGAAAAGATATATAGCAAGCAATAATTATAGGTCACCGTACGACCTTCAACAATGAGCAACACATATACCGTATATATATATATGTAATACTCCCAAACGTGTCCTTCCCCCCAAACGTGTCCGATTCCCCCAAACGTGTCTATTCCTCCCAAACGTGTCCGTAATATTCAATGTTGCCCAAACGTGTCCGATTTCATAACCCCCCAAACGTGTCCGACAATTGTTATTCGCCAAAACGTGTCTATTGTTAAACGCCAGAACGTCTCACGTCTTTTAGCGCTAATAAACGTATGTCCTAAATGACATCAATAACGTTTACGGCTATGATGGGGGACACAGTTGATGAAGTGGTCATTTATTATCATTAGATTGTTCAATGCCGGTTGTTAATGATGATCATAATTTCAAATTTAATCTGTAACATATGAATTAACTTTTTACTGAAATTGTTTATTTTTCAGTTACAAGTATTTCATGCTCATTTAGAGCAAACATACACATAATTTTAGTACAGTTCAAATCGTTTACTAAGTGAACTATTTTGTACTAATAAACTCCGATGATGCCTTTTATATTAATCCGAATATTGCACGGTGGGCTTTCAGCAGAATTGACTTTCTTTTTTTCAACAGTTCTTGTATTTTAAAAGCTCTTCATAGATCATAAACTGGTTATCAGATTTTTTAATAAATTTTAGGTTTCGAGCATTACTAAAGACACACGAACAATAGACATAACGTCCAGTGCCAAATATTTCATGCATTATTTGAACGACATCATGTTAACAATAAATACTGTAGATAGGTTTTATTATCATACCGGGAATTTAGGATTAGGCCTAAATTTTTACGGTTATTCGGGATTAACACTAGTTGGGATTTTATTCTAAAAAATATATTTCTATTTTTTAATGAAATAGTCAAATGAGTATACGTTAATGAAAAAGCAATAACCAAATAACCTACGTATTTATAATATGGACACGAATGATAGTTCCGGTAAAAGAAAAAAAAAATGGAGATTGATATGGACATGTTTGGGGGATTGGGCACGTTTGGGTGTTTATTAAAAAATGGACACGTTTGGGCGTTTATACAAATGACACGCTTTGGTGCCCTTTTACATTAAGACTTGTTTTGCAGTTCAGTGATGTCATGTGGACACGTTTGGGGGAATCGAACACGTTTGGGGGGAAGGACACGTTTCTGAGTGTTACATATATATATATAGTCAGCTATAAAAGGCCCCACCATGATAATTGTGAAACTATTCAATCGGAAAAAAAAACAAACGGTTTGATTTATGACAAAACAATACACGAAAAATAGATATAACAGATATAACAGACAACAGCAACTAACGGCAATCACTGAATTACAGGCTTCTGATTTTGGACAGGCACATATATGTAACACTCACAAATGTGTCCTTCCCCCCAAACGTGTCCGATTCCCCCAAATGTGTCCACATGACGTCACTGAACTGAAAAACATGTCTAAACGTAAAAATGCACCAAAGCGTGTCATTTGTCTTAACGCCCAAACGTGTCCATTTTTTAATGAACACCCAAACGTGCCCAATCCCCCAAAAGTGTCCATATCAAGCTTAATTTTTTTCTTTTACTGGAACTATCATTCGTGTCCATATTATAAATACGTAGGTTATTTGGTTATTGTTTTTTCATTTTACTATTTCATTAAAAATTAGAAATAAATTACTTTAGGTCTTTTTTAAACCGGTAATATAACCTGAGTTAAGGTGGGGGCGTCCGTTCGACTATGTTGGATATAAATGTAAGCAGCCATGCTCAGTTAAATTGTAGATATCAAATCAGATACCTCGTGTAGGGAGAATGTTCCATTCTCTGCGCATTAAAACCTTTGTAGCAATTCGCAATTCACTCTTTCATGGTGCCATTAGTTGTATTTTGGAAGGCAACATTTTTTTAAAAATTTCGGCAACTTTTATTTAAAACGGCCTCTATTACATAACGGATATTGCAGTATTTTCTTACTGAAGTCATAAAAAAATCGGTCTTCACTCGCTCTTATTTTTTTTAGATTAAAATCCCAACTAGTGTTAATCCCGAATAACCGTCAAAATTTAGGCCCAACCCTAAATTCCCGGTATGATAATAGAACCTATATACAGTATTTATTGTTAACATGATGTCGTTCAAATAATGTATGAAATATTTGGCACTGGACATTATTTCTTCACAAACGTGTCCATATGAAGCCTAACTTTTTTCTTTCTCTGAAAGCTCAATCATGTCCATATCATAAAAAGGTCCAAACATGTCCCCGTTATTTGCATGGTTATTGCTCTTTCATATACTCCTTTTACTATTTCATTGCAAATTGAAATATAGTCCTTTAGGTCTTCATCAAACGAACAGTATAACCCGTGCCAAAATGGGGCCTCCGTTCGGTTGGGCTGGGTGTAAAAGTACGCAGCAATGTCTATAGGCAATAATGTGGATATTGAATCAGATACCTCCTGTATAGGGAGAATGCCCACTATCTGCACATTAAAATCCTTGTAACAACTCTTTCAGGGTGCCGTCGATGGTATGCATCAAGGCAACAAGTTTTGTCTCTATCCTTATACCCTTAGGGAGCTACCATTTGATTTTTATGGGGGGGGGGGGGGGGAGGGGCTAGGATGAAATTTTAAAAAAAGGCAGGACAGGAGTTTTGAGTAAAAAAAAGGCAGGATGAGCAACTTGGCAAAAATAAAAGGCAGGATGACAATTTATGTAAATAAAGTCAGGATAAACTAATAAAAAAAAAAAAGGCAGGACCAAATAGAGTGAAAAATAAAAAGGCAGGACAGAGATTACAACTAAAAAGAAATGCAGGACAATATTTTTCATCCTAGCCCCCCTCCCCCCATAAATATCAAATGGTAGCTCCCTTATTATCTAATGGCAGTTAGAATTTCTCCAACTTTAATTCTAAACGTCCTCTATTATATAAAGGGAAATAAAAGATTGTTATACTGAAGCCCCGTAAAAATAAAGTGGTCTTTCTCCGCTCCAAAAAATTATTATCTAATTCTGAGTCCCGATTAGTGTAAATTCCTAATAACCGTACAAATTTAGGCCCAATCTCAAATTCCCGTAATAAAAATGTTACAATCCTAAAGTCCCGGGAAATATTCTTCCATCTCTCATTAAAGAACTTACCAATGATATTCATTGTTAATATGTTGTCGTCCTAAAAATGCATGAAATATTTGCCACTGGACGTAATGTCTCTTGTTTGTGTGTCTTTAAGTGATGTTCGAAACCCCAAATTTTCATAATAATAAACCTGAATACAAGTTAATGATTTCAAGAGCTTTTAAAAAATCAGAACTGTTGAAAAAAATTGGAAAACACCTCTGCAGGAAACCAGCCGTACATTATCCTCATACATGATTAATATAGTAAGGCATCACTGCAGTTTATTAGTACAAAATAATTTACTGAGTAAACGATTGATTTGACTGTACTAAAGTAATGTTTATGTTCGCTCTAAATATGCATCAAATACTTGCCACTAGACATTTAACAAGCAAGTCAAGAATTATGTATATGTTGATAATCAATCTTGTATAAATATAAACAACTGGCGTTGAACAAACTAATGCTAATACATTTTGAATGTTCTTCTTTTAACTCTGTTCCTTTTTAATTTCTGTTTTAAAGTGGACACGTTTTTGCGAATAACAATTATCAGACACGTTTGGGAGTTTTGAAATCGGACACGTTTGGGCGATATCAACATTTAAGGACACGTTTGGGGGAATCGGACACGTTTGGGGGATGGACACGTTTGGGAGTGTTACATATATAATGTGACGGGGTTAAACATGCTTGTGAGCGCTCAACCCTTTCCTCACACGAGACAATGGTGTAACATAACAAAATATAAAAATAAACTGTAAAATTCAGCATGACCTAGTGCAATTCCAACATATAAGTACATGATATCGACATGGTTAGGACCATAAGTTATCATAATATAAAGCAGTACATATTTAGTAAAGTTTTATCTATCAAAAACAAAATCATTGTTAGTGCCAATAAAAAATGATATTCAAATATCTTACTACGGTATTAAAATGATATCCTATAATCTTGAATAAGATTATTCAAAGGATCTATACGTTTATATAGGTAGTATTTGAATGTACGTCCTGTATAAACAACATTACCGTAAACATTAGGGTGTGATATCCTGTATTTTATAAGAATTATACAGGTTCAGCCAAACTTTTTTTATTTGTATCTATGAGAGAATATAGTAAAAGTTTGAATTAATTTATGGCAAAGAAATCCCTGACTTAATATTTTACCAGTTATACATAGATTACGTTCATTGAAATCTGAAACGTCACTACAGATAAGACGCAGCAAACGAGTTGGGGAAAAGTACACACCGCAAGAAAGGTTAAAAGAACTTCATGCCCATATAAGGCAATGATATATGTCAAAATTTGTAAATACACATTTGGTTGCAGCAAGAAAC